CAATTCAACGACTTAAAAAATGTTATTTATATATAATTAATATAGAATGTTGTTATAGATTCAAATTTATAACATTTAACTTCAAACACGACAAGTATGAATTTTTTTCTATCCAAAATTAGAGTTTCCAAACATATTAAGGGAAAAAACTAAAGTAGGAGTAAAACATTGAAAATATACTAAAATAGGAGTTTCATGTTTTTATTCATGGAATAGGAGTTACAATGCATTTACGTTACCAATTATAACCATGTACATTACGTAAAATACACATGTACAGTATCACATTATCACAATGCAAATAGCTATTTGGAGAATAAAAACATGAAACTCTTATTTTGGTAATTTCTCTGTGTTTTAGTCTTATTTAGCGTGATTTCTTACATATTTTATTTGGGTGATCATTTAATTAGATGACTTTTTAATACTTTAATTCTTACAACGTTTTCCAACTCTTTTTAGTTTATTCTAAATTACGATCTTATTTTATAATTGTATTATTCCCCCGTCTCATATATATTTTGCGGGCAATATTTTTAAGGGGGTTTCTTCGGTGCCCAAAGAAATAAGAGGGCATCCATGCCCTTCCACTCAAGTATTGCCACGTGTATTAAATCTTATGAGAATTAATAAAGTATTCCAGCTCATTTTAACTCTAAGAAATTACAATTGACCTCTCCACTTTGTTTGCCTTAAACTCACCCCCAACCCTCCAGTTTTCTTCAGTTTCCAAATTTCCGTTTATCATTGACGTTACTTCAAATAATCTTTTTTTCCTCGACCGCCGGCCACAATCTTATACAAATCTGATCAATTCCTCTTACCCAATCTAATCAATTTCCTCTTAGCATCAAAACGAGGTTATCAAACCTATCAAATCCTTTGTAGGAATTTCTGTTCTATGAGCCGGCCATCCACTTTAATCCTCACTGTGGAGAGGCATGTAACAACTGGGAGTGGACTGCTAGGTTTATAATTCACAATAGTGAAAAGAAAAAAAAACTTGACAGAGAGTGATTATGGCCAAATCCAATGTTACAATTCACAATAGTGAAAAGAAAAATTGTTATGTCTTAAAATTACTCGCACCATTTTTTTGGTAAACATGGTTATGTCAAATGATATAATTGCCAAATCCAAAAATGCCCAAATCTCAAAGGGAAGAATGACTTCTTTTTAGAAGCTCAAGATTAGATTTTCACAGGAAAAAAAACAAAACTATTGCCAAACCTCAAAGAAGTAAAAAATAGCTACTTCTTAGAAGTTCGAACAGTCAAACCTTTGTCATTGGATAAGAGGAAATTGATTAGATTTGTATACGATTGAGGTCGGCGGTCAAGGCGGCAGCTTCTTCTCTAATGTGAGATGCACAGTGACGGAAGGCCAGGGGTGCAGGCGAGCAGTGCCGCGGATATGTGTGGTTACGGTTTGGGAAGAAGACATTGGGAAAAATACGGACTAATTAAATTAGTTGACGTGATACACGGAAACGGCAAAAGAAAACATAAGGGGGTTTGGGGGTGAGTTTAACGAAAGCAAAGTGGGGAGGTCAATTGTATTTTCTAGATTTAAAATGAGCTGGAACACTTTATTAATTCTCATGAGATTTAATACACATGGCAATATTTGAGTGGAGGGGCATGGATACCCTCTTATTTCTTTGGGCACCGAAGAAATCCACTATTTTTAAAGTGTGGCCATAAATTACGGAAGAATACATTAAATTATGATACAAATTTAATAAATTTTTTTCAAAATTTAGTTTTAAAATATCATATTTTTATAATCTACACTTATAATTTTATATTCTATGTTTATACGAAGTACTACCTACGTCCCGCTATATTCGTCCGCTTTTGACTTTTGGAATTCTTCATCTAAGCACTTTGACTCATCAAATTCTCTCAATGTTTATGCCTAAATATAGTCATGTTTGATCTTGTTTGATTTTTCTTAACATATAGATTATTAATATATAATTTCTATGATTTTTTAATATACAAATTACAAGATAAAATGGATTAGAGAAGTGTATCGGATGGTGTGTAAAAATGAGAGTGGACAAATACTCTGGGACGGATGGAGTATATAAATAGCTAGATATATTAAAGGTCAAAATGTTGCGACTCTGAAAAATGAAATAGGAAGAAAAATATACTCCCTCCGTCCCAAATTGTTTGTCACGTTTCGAATGACGAGCAAAATGTCATATTTTTAAAAATCATTTTATTTACAAATTGGTAGAAAATAAAAAATAAAACCTAAAAAATATATCAAAAAATTTAAAAAATAAGATGCGACAAAAATATTTTATAAAAAAAAAGAAAAGTTAATATAGTACCTCTAACATTCATTTTATTTAATTGGAGTCGGAGAGGTAAAAATTCATTTCCTCCGGAAAAAAAAAGCTTCCGATCGGCCAGAATTCCTAAAAAAAACTCAACTGTGCAGACTGCTTTATTGAAATCGTGACTTCAATCGGACTCCGATATGATGTTAAAAGCGGACAAATCCAACAAAAATCAAAAGCTTAAGCTTGAATGAGTGCTTGCCGTACCTTGGAAATAAACCGTCGGCCGGAGCCGGACGCCATGATTGCCGGCGAGGTCGGAGAGGACGAGGAGCTGTAACAGAAGATTTGAACGCGGCAGATCTGAGTTTAAGCCACAGTCCGCGTAAGCAGTAAGTTCTGCAATTACTGGTGAATTGAAGAGGAAGAGAGAGGAGGAAAGGGGGGATTTTGGTGGTTTAATTTGTAGAGGAATTTACTTCAATAGCACTAAAACATAATGATGTTTTTCTTCCCAATGTAGCACTTTTAGTCATTATGCATTAGTCATTATTCAAGTAAATATTTGCCAACACAAGACATTATGGACATTATTAAGTGTTATTTAGAAAATAAAACAATTTAAGTGTTATTTAGGAAAATGACTTAAGTTTTAGTGCTATTTAGTGCGAATATTTCTTAATTTGTAACTAACAAATGAAGCGGTATGAATGAAAGAAACGGTAATGGAGATGGCAGAAGGGCAAAATGGGGGATTGAGCCTCGAGCTGAGGAGAATTTATGTGGGAGTTTGATTGGTTTTCTCTCCCTCATTTTCTGGGGTGTGCTGTTATTAATCCCAACATCTTTTGAATAGATTTTCTAAAAGCCACTGAATGATGGGTGCACTACCCCACACTCCCTTCTCCACCACACATTTTTTATTTAATTTTTATTTATTTATTTTTTTTAATTTTTTTGACCTTTTTTAGTGGACAAGGAGGGGGTGAGGGACATATAGGGTACACCTTTGGTGTATCCCTAGCATTTTTCATTTTCCCTCTTCAGAGTTCAGACTGTTGGTTCTAAAGTAAAAAAAAAGTTTTTTGACTGACTATTGGAATTGGAGTTAAAAAAAAAGAGCAATACTATAGGTACACCAAAATGTATACTTCAAATGTACACTACCATCTTCTCCACCATCCATTTTTATTTGATTTTTATTTATTTATTTTTTCTGAATTTTTTGTCTTTTTATGTGGAGAAGGAGGGGGTGGGAGACATATGGAGTACAACTAGTAAAAAGAAATCCTTCTTTATTTAACTCACTTCTTCTATCCCGATTTTTTTATTCAAATTCTCTCCATTTAATACTTCTATTTTTCTTTCTTTTCTCTTTTTTAACACTATCATGTTTTCCATATTTATTTCATAAAATGGAGCCAAAACAACAAAACCAAATCGAGTTTTAAAATTAGACTTAAAGGAACTTAGAATCACTCAAACGAGTACTGGGAGCCTTCCACCGATAAACCTAACGGTGTTGATGAAAATGAAAGACAAAATTTCCGAACCAATAGCTTGGAGGGAGCAACAGTGACATGTAATTTTTATCACAATATTCATTTTTAAATTTAATTATACTTTTTTAGCTTTTTCGGTCACCAACTTTATTTAATGTAATATTTTGCCCTGTTAGCTTATTTGCATATAAAACGCGTATTATACACACGTACGTATAATTTACGTATTATACGTAGGAACACAAATTTTTAATGTGACAAACATATAAAACATATATTTTTGATCCTGAACGTGTATACGAATGAAATCATAAAAACAATTAAAAGACGCTTCGATCAACTACAAGAATCAAAATTTGGAAGGCCAAATTTTGGATTAGATCAAAATTATCAAATTACTTAATTTACTTTCTCCCGGCCCCAAAATACAAATCTTTAAAATTTTGCATCATAACACTCATAGAATTGAAGTACTAGAAGCCGGATCGCAATTCGAGTCATCCACCAACGTACGTATGTTGTTAATGAAATAACATCCATGGTCTACATGTGTCTACAACTCCATCCGGCTGGGAGTACAACACTCCAAACATTCTGCCGAAAAGTAGCAATAATATTCTCTCTTTTTATTTAAAGTTCTATAATGTAATCATGTTTTTGTATTTAGTTCTTGAGGTTAATTACAAGCCCATTAGGTTAATTAAGATTTTCATATCTCTATACATTGTACTTTAATTAGGTTAATCAAAATCCTAATAAGTTTGAAAAAACATTGAAGTGTTTCATCTTTCTCTAGTTCTTTTTCCTATAACTTGGAGAGCGCTCGAAGTTTTTCCTTATGTGATACGATATTTATATCAATTGGTGCTCTCATTGATTTGAATATAACTGCGGTGTACAAATGAGATACAATTTTTGGTGTAAATGAGATACAAAATATTCAAAATTAAAAAAAGAACCGTTTTGGTTTGGTCACGACCCATGACAAAATGCAACATCACTTTAGACTTTGCGACCACTATATTCTTTGCGTGAGGGGGACGTCATGCTGACTCACGGTGCGGAGAATATACACATTACCTCATACTCTTCATCATCATCCATCCATTCCACTACAACCTTTAATTTTATAACAAATTCTACCGTGTATCTAAGGTCTATCATTCTATCATAAAGTTATATATGAGTAAATAAGTATATTAGCCAGATTTTTTGGCCACCCAGATTGGCCACTTTTTGGGGGGATTTCAGTTATGGAGAATGGAGAGAATTAGAGCTTGGGACAGAGACATCTGATTTGTCTGTGTAGAGTGGAACTAAAGAGAAGCAAGGTACTAGTGTTGGACGAAGTGACATCATCGGTGGACGCGAAAACGGACAACATGATTCAGGAAGCGATGAGGGAGGGCGGAGGGTTTGCTGGTTCAACGGTGATCGTGGTGGCCCACCGCATTACGTCCATTATCGACAGTGATGTGGTGCTCGTTTTGGGCCACGGAGTCGTCATGGAACGTGGTTCTCCTCTCACTCTGCTTCAGAATAGGGCCTCTTCTTTTGCAAAGCTTGTTGCTCAATACACAACTTGCCAAGCGAGGAGTGCCAAAAGGGTAAACTCAAGCTCGATTTCTGGTAACTGCGTTAAGGAGCAACTATGTAATACATAGAGCCTCTGCAAGCACAAAATACAGACTTCTTCCTTTTCCTGCTAGTCTGTGATTATTGCTCAATTTATCTTCTCTCGGGTAATTGCCTGGCTGATTCTAAGGGGGGCCCTCAGGGATGAGACTCACCCTCTCTTCTTTTTTTTTTTTTGAAAATTGTTAGAGAACCAAAAAGGATTGTCTCCTTTTTTTAATAGTTAAAACATGTTACTTTTCTATCTCATTTTATATTATCTGTTTTGATTCATGATGTTTGACTGAGTAATGTTCAATTCAACGAGAATTGGAGAGAAACTAAAAAATAAAATTAACATATTTAAAAATTGCATCAAAAGTCTTACAAAATAAGTAGTGAATGACTATTTTTTATCAAATAACTGAAAAATTGGCAAAGAAAATAAATAAAATGACTTATCAAATGACTTTGTAAATAGTAAACATGTAGTTTAATTTGAGACGAAGAGAATAGTTCTTTTCATCTTTATATTGTTTGAGTTTTATATGTAAACTACTTTGACATTATTTTTTCATAAACGAATAGGTTTTCGTTGCTTAATTATTTCTCCCCCCGTCAAGAAACAAATCTTCCCATATACTATTCAGTATTCACATGGTCAAACTTAATTCAGTTTGTTTGCTTATTCTTATAACTCATTTAATAAAATAATATAGTCTTGTCACCTCTTATTTTATAAAATTTTTAATGTAGTTTTGTATTATATAAATTTTATTTTTAAATTTTATATCTATAATCAAATAAGTTAAAATAAAAAAAAATTACACTTACTTATTTATAAATTATCTGTAAAAAATATTTTTTAAAAAAATTGAAGATGAAACAAACCAGCCCTGTACGGTGTCAGAACCGCCGGTGCGAGAACCGGGCCCAGTAACGGTTCCATGGGGTGGTGAGACCGGAACAACCCGATTCTAGAAGCGAAATAGGACCAGAAGCGTACCATGTCCACCTATAAGAGTATATGTAATCCTTATCCCGAAATGAAGGTCACATTTTTTAAAGTCCAAAATAAAGATTCTAGTTTTTCACTTTTAAATTATAAAATGAAATATTCGATTCGTAATATTTCAATCATCTACACAAAATTTTAAGAAAATACATTTTTACGTTGGATTATTTTATATTTATAATGACAAGCAAAAAATTATGATAGAACATTTGAAAATGAAAGAAATATTTTGGATATTAATTATGATCAAAATTTATAAAATTAAATGTCAAATGTAAATTGTGACATTTTTTTGGTATGGATGATAGAAAATGATATAGATTGTATAGTGGAGTTTCTAATATGGTCTTTTATGGACTTGTGGAGTACAAAAGTGAACATGTCTACAAAAAATCAGTAAATTTTATGAAAATTCGAAAAGATCCAAAATGATGGCCTTCCGATATGATGAAATTCCATATCCTCTTTTCCGGCGAGGTAAGTTTTGGCATGCAAAGATTGTCACCTAGGTTTATGGCTGCATGCATGCAAAGCTTGTCCCCTAGTTTTATGGTTGCATGCAAATCCTATATAAATTGGGAAAATTCCAAACAAAGTTTTATTCATTCCAAAATTGTAATCAAATCAAACACCTACTCTAGATCATGTCTTCCCCTTTCGGTATTTTTGGTATGCTACTCATTTTCCTTGTGATCATAGGAAGGGCCTCCTCTACTTCTATGGAGGTTTTATGGGTAAATGGACATCCCAACTTTCCAATTCCTGAGATTGTTAGACAATCTTTCTTAGGAGGTATGGTTATTTAACACATCGATTGCTTGGGTACGAGTTTAAATACCAATGTTTTAGTATAAATGTGAATGCAATTTCAATTTTTCTTTTATTTGAATAAAAGTGTGAACAAAAAGTTGAATATGAATATTAATACATTGCTCTTGTAATGTAGCCACCTGAATATGACCCCTCCTCATTTGGGAGTCGCTGGATCACAAAGTCTTTGGCATAAATTAACTAATTGATATTCAAACTATGCATCTGTNATTGCTTGGGTACGAGTTTAAATACCAATGTTTTAGTATAAATGTGAATGCAATTTCAATTTTTCTTTTATTTGAATAAAAGTGTGAACAAAAAGTTGAATATGAATATTAATACATTGCTCTTGTAATGTAGCCACCTGAATATGACCCCTCCTCATTTGGGAGTCGCTGGATCACAAAGTCTTTGGCATAAATTAACTAATTGATATTCAAACTATGCATCTGTAGGTGGTGACGGAGGCATGACCAAGCACCGTTTTGTCATCCCTCAGAATTATGAAATGGCGGCCATAAAGGAAATGTTGGACGAAAATTCATTAGGGAGTCACGCCTTCTTCCTAAAAAGTAAACTTCTGGTTGGATCACGGAGCAGCTTTACTCCGGAACATTGCAAGGACGAACCTGACAACAACAACAACAACAACATTCCCTCCGGTGCAATTCCAACGTCCCCACCCCCAGAGTTATCATCAGCCAACTTTGACCATATCATCCAGCGCTACTCCATTGACCCCAATTCTAGCGTTGCACGGGTCATTAAGGTGATGCTGGAAAGATGTGAGAAGAAGAAGAATCTGATCAACGGGAAATTCCAGGCTTGCGTGACCTCTTTGCAGGCAATGGCGTCTCTCGTCGCGGAGAGTTTGAGGGAGGGCAACCCCAATCTGATCACTGGGATTTCCCTCCCGGGGTTACAGGGTGCGCCAAAAGGGAGCTACGAATTCCAGGGCTTCAGTGCCCTTAACGACGACAGGTTTTTGCTATGTCACAAGCTTACGGTCCCCTTTGGGGCATTCTTCTGCCACCAACCCAGCAACTCGACGGCCTATTCGATCACCCTCTATGGAGTTGATAGTGGGGTGCATTACGATGCCCTGGCCGCATGTCATAGTAGCACCGGTCGTTGGAACCCAGATTACGTTGCGTTTCGAGTTCTTGGGGTGAAGCCAGGAGTTCCTGTTTGTCATCTCCTCCAAGCCCATGATGCAATCTGGTTCAGCAATGGAGGGTGAAAGCTAAGAATTATGTGCATTATTGTTGTGATAGATGGAGCTAGTTAGTGCATAATATAGCTTTCCTTGATTTCTTCAGCAACAACAACAACAATTTATGCTTCTTTCCATCTTCCCCCCCAAAAAAAATTAATACGGAGTACTTAATAATTTATGCTTTCCAATGTCATGTCTTTTTTGTTATTTCAATTAATATATTGTTAACCACAATAGCACACGAAATCACGAATGAGTACACATAACCAGAGATCAAGCGTTCGGAGGCTACCTATATCCGAATTGAATCTGGTTCCGGACATATATGGACGCGTTTAAAGCTCTTCCTCTGCTGCCGCCACCGTAGCAGGGGGGTGGGGGGGATTTATCGGCGGAGATGAAGGATCGGAGGATGCATTGGAGAAGGAAGAGACGATAGTGGTCGGAGATTTGTTGTGCTTGGCGCCAGATGAAGCGGTGGCTCCACATGACCAGATGGATTGATTTGCTCCGGCGTTGTTCGACAGTGGTTGTGCGCCGGAATTGGTCGTCTGCTCACTCCGTATAATTGGAAACAATAAGTTATGGGAGTAACCATAAAAATATTTTGAATGTTAATTATGATTAAAATTTATAAACTTTAATATGTAAATTGTGACTTTTTTTTTGTTGAAAGGATGAAAAATGATTTGCTATATATGTTCGGTACGGGATTTTCGGTATGGGACGTCACCTCGTACCGTTCCCGAAATAAAGATTCTAATTTTTTAAAGTCCAAAATAAAGATTCTACTTTTTCACTTTTGAATTATGAAATGAAATATTCCATTCATAATATTTCAATCTTCTACACAACTTTTAAGAAAATACTTTTTTACGTTTCCATATTTTTATACTCCTTCCGTCCCAAAAAGATTTACACATTTCAAAAAAATTGTGTCCCACAATCTCCTACCCATTTCTATTAAAAAACCACTTTTACCCATTACTTTTTCAAACCCTATCTATCACATAATACTTTTTTCTTTATAATCTACACATCACATCCTACTTTTACACATCAAATCAAGGTTATTTTTGGAAAGTCAACAAAAAATTATGACAGAACATTTGAAAATGATAAAAATAATTTGGATGATGATGATCAAAGTTTATAAAATTTAATTTGAAATATTTGCACTAAATATCACTAGAATTTAAGTCATTTCTTTAAAGAGTAAAGTGCATTGTTTACCTCGTACTCTTTAGAAATTGCATGTTTTACCTCTGAACTATAAAAATTACACCGTTTACCTTTGAACTCTTTGAAAATTGCACGATTTACCCCTGCATACTAAAAAATGCACCAAATATCCTTGGACAAATTAAACCGTTGCATCGTTGGTCCTAAACTATTATATAGGGAGTGTGTTGTTTCCACGCACAACAATTGCGAATATGATTCATCTGACCCTTGTGATTTTTTCAAAGTACCTTTACCCAAAATTGTCGTCTTTATTTAAATGTTCAGGAGTAAACCGTACAATTTTTGAAGAGTTTAGGGATATTTGGTGCAATTTTTATTGTTCATGGATAAAACGTGCAATTACTAAAGAATTCAGGAGTATTTAGTACATTTTTTAATGTTCGGGGGTAAACCGTGCAATTTAAAAAAAATCGAGGGTAAACGGTGCACTTTTCTCTTTCTTTAAATAACACTTAGATTGTTTTCTTTCCTAAATAGCTTTTAATAATGTCTATAATGACTAGTGATGTCAAACATTTACTTGAATAATGACCAATGGATATTGACTAAAAGTGTTACATTGGAAAAAAACAAATGTAGTGCTATTTAAGAAAGTTAATATGTTTTAGTGTTATTTACGTAAATTCCTAATTTAATGATCAAGAATGATTGAAAGCTATAATGAAGTTTCCTTTATGGACTAGTGGAGTACAAAAGTGAACATGTCTCCTAAAAAATCATAATTCAACTCATTCATTTGAACATATTTTACAAATTCCACATCCTCTTGTCAGGTGAGAATTTTACAGGCTGGTCTCGATAGAGAATCGATGCCAGCGCCAAAATTGGCGGTTCCATCACTGAGACCGGTGACGGACATGGTGAAACAGTATGGGGGACCGAACCAGAACCAGTGCATACAAGTCCAATTCTGGGGTATAGATATTGGGATCGGAACCGGTGATTCTACTTTCGTTTCCAGCCTAATTTTGTACTCCGTACAAAGTATTTCTTTTTCTTTTCTTTCTTTCACGTGACCCTTGCAAACTTGGTGGGGCCTGGGGAGCTTCTCCAACGGCAATATAGCCGTTTGGAGGGTGGGGGTTTTGGGGGTTATTTTTTACCTCTAAGCCCATTTAAAGGTTTGTTCACGGTTCTTTACTTCGTCATTTTTTTTGGAATTGGGACTGGGTTGAGGTTTACGGGGATTGATAAAAGTCAAACAAAAAGTACTGAAGATTGGAAAATTGGAATTCATTCTCCAAAAGATAAAATCGCTCATCCCGGGCGCCCCTCACCCCGACCCGACAGGAATGTGAGAGGAGGTAAATCACGGTGATCCAAGCATAACACTTAGCTAGACCATATCCTAGTGCGTACTAGAGACTCCCCGATAGAAAATTGGAATTCATGGAATCAGGAGAGCATAGATACCAAAAATCTGAAAAATATACTGCAATCGTAAAATCAAAAGAAAAAAAATGAAATGCAAAGGAAAGGGGAAAACTGATTTACCCCCTTAGGATATCTTCCCGTTCGCTAGTTGGCTTGCTGATGCGAATCCTGCGATATGTGTGTCCAGTCGTCGGCGGTTGTTTGGTCTCCGACGCAGGTCCGCCGGAGTCCATGGCCGAAAACTAGGTTTTGAAACCCTACACTGGCGTCGTCGTCCTTGCCGATCTGCTGCGTTGATGATGTTCCTTTCTCTAGAATGTAAGAGTACTTCGTCTAAATAACTCTTGTTTGTTTGTAAATATTTTTTTTTTGTTGCTTTGTTTTTAAAATATTTTTGAACGATGTACTTTATATTTTTTCAAAAAAATTTTTTTAATTAAAATGATTATAAAAATTTCGAAATTTTACACGTAATATGAATTGTGTCATCCATTTTGGACAGAGATAGTATTTCAAATGTCCTAAAAGGTGAGAAGGGAAATATTAATTTCAACGAGTGATTCCATAATCACTAGCTTAGAGAGTCATTTTCGTTTAAGAACCCATCTACGGTGTTCCATTTGTAAAATTAATAATTTCTACCTCATTTAATCCTCTTGATGAACCCACCAGCCCAACTCTTATCGTGTCCCCTATAAATATGTGGTTATTAGGGAATAGCCTTATGACCATACATATTTAGTAAGGGGCAAATAGGCTGAGTAGGGGTTGGGGTAGAAAGTTTGGAGGGGATAAGAGAGTTAGAAACCATCAATTTTACGAAGCATTATAAGTGCTCCAAAAAGAGGGAGACAACCGCAGTAGCTATGTAAGCCGAAGCCTACGAAACCAAATTATAATTTCAAATGCCCTAAAAATGTGGAATGCTTTCATATTATAGATTGCTCAAAATCTAGATCACATAAAGTGAATGCGAGTGCAGGTTCGTGAATGCGTCGAAAATCAAAATATGATGATTTTTTTACTGACACTTTGAGTCGCATCCGCACTCATCATATTTTGAGAAAAAGAGTATATATACTCCCACCGTGTCGTGAAATATAGGACATTTGCTTTTTAGGAGAGATTTAAGGAAGTGTATTTTGGTATTGAATTTCCAAAAATGTCCTTTGATGTGATGGGTAAAAGTATGATTTGATGGATAGATTATTAGTAAAAAGGTATGATGTGATAGTTAGAGTATAAAAAAGTAAGGGGTAAAAGTGACTTTTTAATAGAAATGAGAAGTGTTTTGTGGGACGGATAAAAAAAAGGGAAATGTTTCACGGGACGGAGGGAGCAGTTCATAGAGTTTATTACTACGACCCTACTCTTTAAAAAAACACAAAAATAATTTTATTTTTAACTTAGTGGCATTAATGAAAAAGATGAGACACAATGAAAATGCATTTGTTCTTACTTTTTTTTTTGCTTGAAAGAGAACTGGCTTCTCTAGTTAAAATCTCATAAATTTAAGAATATATTTAGAATATTTTATTTATTAAAAATATTATTATCTTTGCTCAAAAGTATTTGTCTATTACCCCGGAGTATGAGTTTTTAAAGTCAAATTGTATAAATATTTCAAAGTATGGAAGATGATTTATGTATCCGTTCACTCATGCATGTATATGTTACTCAATTCGTTTATTTTTAATATTTTAATTGTTTATCAGTGATCAAATAGTCTATTCTTCCACTATATATGTTTTTTAATCATGTCATTTGTTAAAAATCAAAATTATCAGATTATGTCTTGATCAATATAACTCTTCATGTACTCTATGTTATTAAAATTTACTAGTATAAATCTATTCTCTAATTTTCCACGGTACGAGTACTTGAATAATTAGATTGAGTATAACTTTATATCGCAATTCAATTCCGAAGATTATCTATGAATGAATGAAGTAATAATTGAAATAATTTTTTAATATTTTTTTTTTCTAATATGACACTAAAGAAGAACTAGTGAAGATTTAAGAAGCCCTTGTGTATTGAGCAACAAGCTCTGCAAAAGAAGAGGCCCTATTTTGAAGCAGAGTGAGAGGAGAACCACATTCCACGACGACTCCATGGCCCAAAACGAGCACCATATCACTGTTGATAATGGACGTAATGCGGTGGGCCACCACGATCACCGTTGAACCAGCAAACCCTCCGCCCTCCCTCATCGCCTCCTGAATCATGTTGTCCGTTTTCGCGTCCACCGATGATGTCGCTTCGTCCAACACTAGTACCTTGCTTCTCTTTAGTACCACTCTACACAGACAGATCAGCTGTCTCTGTCCCAAGCTCCAATTCTCTCCATTCTCCATAACTGAAATCCCCCCCCCCAAAAAAAAATAAAATAAAATAAAAGTTATTCTCACTTGCAGTACAAAACCAACCTTCATTCGTTGCATTTAGTGAAGAATCAGTCATGAAGTATACCTGGTGATTGAAGTTTTTCTTTTTTCTTCCTCACTTCATCCCCCAGTCGGCATTTATTGAGGGCCTAAAAAAAACATTAGTACACACACATATTGTTATACGGATTTCAAGAAAAACAATATGGACACGAAAACACGACAACGGATTTACGTGGTTCACCAATATTGTGTTGGCTACATCCACGGGGAAGAGGGGGAGCAGTTGTACTCCCTGCTGTAACGGGTCGCATTCAAGACATTACAACATATATGGGATATGACCACATAAAATGCACCAAAGCATACCATGAAGAAGAAGAAGAAGAAGAATTTGATTACCGCCCATAGTTGTTCATCGGAGTACTCATCCAGTGGATCCAAGTTATTTCGAATCGAGCCTTCGTACATGATGGGATCCTGTGGGATAATGCTTAATCTGGACCGTAAATCGTGGAGTCCGATACAAGAGATGTCGACCCCATCTATCGTTATTCGCCCAGCTGCGGGTTCCATGATTCGGAAGAGTGCCTGGATGAGTGTCGTCTTACCGCACCCCGTTCTCCCCACGATGCCGCTCTTTTTCCCTCCTGGAAATGTGCACGAAATCCCCCTCAGCACCAGGGGCATTTCAGGCGCATAACGGACCTAGCCAGCCCCGCCAAATTTAAAAAAATCTCATTAATTAACCCATCATTCTTTCTTAAAACTATGACTTAATTGTATGAAGGACTATTCGAATGACTAAGTTTGGATGACCCAACAACTTGAAGGACCAACGGTGGAATTTAGCTCGGTAACACGGGGAATGGACATAATTTCATTACCTCGAGGTCTTGAATAGCAACTTCTCCAAAGGGTGGCCAATCTGGACCCGGCCTGTTATCTTCAACCACAAGTGGAGCCTCACTGGGAATCCTAGTGTACTGAAGCATTCTTTCAACTGATATGATTCTGTTCTCCATTTTGGACAGATTGGTTATCACTCGTCTTTGTTGCGCGTTCAAGTTCAGAGTATATGTCACAGCCAACCCAGCAATGACTTCGTTGATGATATGAAAAAGGAAGACAAGAAGAAGAAAAAAAATAACTTGTGTCAATATTATTGTAATGTATATATATACTTAACCAAGGACATTAGTAAATACCAGGATTAACCAGGGCCCCGGGAAGAAAAATCAGAAAGCTGAGGGAGCAAGCGAATAGGAATGCGGAGAGCATATCCAAGCGGAAGCACAGCCATTGCCTTGCTGCACAGCTGAAAAACCTCGGGCGCGAAAATTCGTTTATCAGTTTCAGGTTCATTTCGTCGAATCGCGACTCTTGATCAAAGCTTCTTATTGTTGTTAGTCCAGATATCGTCTCCGAAAAATGCTGTATGACAGGAGCTTTGGTCACTCCAGCCAACCTGAAAAGTTCTCGCGCTGCTGGGAAATAAAACCTCTGCACCACACAGAATGTATATATAGAAGGGGTTATCATCGATCACTTTCATATATATTCGACGAATTTAAGACATAGTGTTTATGTACCTGGTACATAATGGAGATCGCGATGATGGGAATGAAAATGATGAAAACCTGCCAAACAACAAGCGACACGACCACTACAGTTCCTAAGAGTGAAATCAACGAGAATGCAAATCTGCTGACCATCAACGGAGTGTTCATGTCCACTGCACTTTGATCTGTCGAAACCTGAAGAAACCAATCGATGATTATGTTTGCGTGGTTTATCGAGAGGCCCAAATTCCAAGAGGGAAGAGTGCGTAGTTACCCGGTTTAGTATACGCCCGCTTGGTGTGGTGTCAAAAAACGACATTGGGGCGCGAAATAAAGAAGAGTGGAGCTTGGTAAAAAGCAAAAATGATGTCTTGTAAGCAGCCATCATGAGAAGAGTGGACCTTGCTAGGATAGAAATGCTACTTCCAATGGCCAAAGCAACGTAGACGCCTATTAACGTTTTTCCATCTTCCACGACAACGGCTTCTGACCCGGACCGAGTAGCCGAAGCCATCCAATAATTGGAAAAGATTTGGAGAAGCTGAAACAGAAGCTGGAGAAACAATATCAGGGGAACCAAAGCTCCCCCATATGCTGCAGTTAAGTATTCCCAATACACTGAAAACCCAACAACCCTGGTTTTCTCCCTTTCTTCTGCTTGTACTATTTGTCTGTTAGGCCTTGTATTTGAATCATCATCATTGTTCTTTTCCTCTTCTAAAGTTAGTGTTTCTTCTTCTTCTTCTTCTTCATCACCAACAACTTTCTTGTGCTTGTTCAGTTCAGCTTCAGTTGAATCAATGGCAGACAAAGCTCGGTCATGAGCTCGAACAAGTTCCACGAACTCCAGCCCGGGTTTCAGGATCTCGTGATACTTTCCCGCTTCCACTATTCTCCCACCTTTCATAACCTTTAGTAATGAAATAAATATTAGCGTATTTGTGAGAGATATAGAAAGAAAACTAGTGGAGTATGGGAACCAAGTAAACATGTATTCGTACCAAGATCACATCGGCTGCGGGTAAGAACTCTACTTGGTGTGTGACATATATGACCGTTTTGGATCCTAAAAGCCCCAGAAGAGATTCCTGTATATGAAATGATCAAAACCAAGTTAGACAATGATAAAAAAAACATATCCAAAACCCAATATTGGGGCAAGATGAATATACCTTGAAGATATGGGTTCTGGTGTGAGCATCAAGAGCGCTAAAAGGGTCATCAAGAACATAAATGTCGGCATCCTGATACAACGCGCGCGCGATTTGCACCCTTTGCTTCTGTCCACCGCTCAAGTTGAGACCCCTCTCGCCGACAATAGTCTGGTCCCCAAAGGGCAGCATTTCAAAATCCTTCTTCAAGGAGCAAGCTTCAAGAACGGCGTCGTATTTTTTCGCATCCATTTTTTCTCCAAACAAGATGTTATCAACAATTCTACCGCTATGTATCCAAGGGGATTGAGGGACGTAAGCCTTTGACCCGTACATCTTGAGAGTGCCAGATACCTGTTAGGATCCCACAACTCGGTTTAGATAAAGAACACGAAGACGATATAGGCTATAGGTATGCAAGAAAGCCTAAGTAAGAATACCTTTGGTACTTCTCCCAATATAGAAGAAAGTAGTGTTGACTTGCCAGAGCCAACACCGCCGCAGACCGCTATCTTCATGCCATGCTCAACTCTGAGGTTTATACCTTTCAACGAAGGGCTCGAAGCTGCTGCTTCTGCAGATGGAACCCAAGAAAAGTTTCCTTCACTTATCTCAACTGCTGCTTCAGACCTATGAACCCTTTCTATTGAACCGAGGTCCAAGTCGTCCAGAGAGAGGAATGAGGCGATTCTACAAAGGGAAACCTTTGTCTGAACCATCATGGATACTGTGCCAGGCAAGTTAGAGATGGCATCCTGAAGAATCCTGAATGTTGCAATTGCAGATAGAATCTTGCCCGGCGCTAGAGGGACACGGATGATCATGCACGCGCCAAATGTGATGGCAGACACAAAGATAGGGGCGATCCAGAAGACAGACGTCGTCATGGCGAAAGCGTAAAGAGATCTTTTCAGCCATCCATTCTCATTCTCCCGTAGCTCGACGATCTTCGACAGGAACTTCATTTCCCATGCTTGAAGCTTCAGGACTCTCATGTTCTTCAGTACCTCAGAGGTCGCTTTCATTCTCTTGTCCCTGGATCCCATTAGTCTGTCCTGGTACTTGTCTAACACGCTTGATAAAGGGTAGTTTACTGCCATCACCAGCACTGTTGCGAAAAACGCAGCTACCCACGCAAGCCCGAGGTCTCTATACAAGATCAACAAAGCCAAGGTGACTTGCAAGATGATAATCCAAGGGTCATGCATGTACACACTAAACTCTCCTACTCTCTCTGCATCAACAGACATCAGATTGATCATCTCCCCGCTCGTGTGTCGTTGCCTCGATACGCAAGAGAGGGTCAGTACCTTATTGCATATGCCCTCCATGAGCACGGCTTTCGTCCGGATTCCCACCACTCCAACCCTAAACTCGGAATGCATCTGCATGAGACACTCCACAAGCTTTGCAGCAAAGAATGAAGAAACTAACAGATACGGATAATACGACGACGACGATGATGACGACGATAAATTCTTCTTCTTCCCATCAAGGTACTGAACGAAGGCATCGATAAGGTAGGGACCCGCATAAGATGCCAAGGTGTTCAGGAGACAGAACAGAGCCATCCATGATATGTCTGTCCATGATGTCAGGATTAAATACCTGGCAACCTGGGAAGGTGTGACAACAACCCTTTTAGCAGCAGAATTGGAAGAAGACTCCAAACAGTTTCTGAAAGTCAAGTAGGAATCCTCGACACAATCGCTGCCCGAAAGCGGAGGCAAATCGTCAAGGTTCAGCGCTTCTGCATAGCCTCTAGAGATCAAAGAACCCACCCAAGAAAAGGTCAGTTTACTGAAGAAACCTGCACTTGGCTGAACAATACCATCATGTTTTACCAGAAGTGGGCTTTGAACACCGCCTTCTTCTTCATCTGTAACATAAACTGAATTGGAATTCCCCATATATGTTTATAATGAAAAGATCTTCTTCTCCATTAACAAGCAAGGCTTCCATGCATCCAGAGTGGAACAATGGCGTGCTTCATTCTTCTTTTAAACAATTGCGACTAATTCTAACGACCCACTAATTCTTTTTTATTTTTTTAGCACTGCAACTAATTATAACGGTTCACTAATTCTAATTACACAAAACATCAAACCCTTTCGTAGTTCCTTGTCTAATATGACTTCTCAAAAACACAAAAAGAAAATAATAATAATACCAGGCCAGGAGTACTATTACGTACTAATTACAACTAAAAGACTTTTCTATCTAGTCTCTTTACTTCTAGTTTCAATTGAATAGTCTATTTCAGTTTAAAATTTTTGACTAAAGTTATTTTTAAAAATATTATTTGAAAATTGGGGTAGAATTAACAAATAAAGTTTATAAATTTAAAACCACATCAAAAGTTTTGCAAAATAAGTGGTGACATTACTACTCCACATTATTTCATCAAAAATATAATGAAAAACTGGATGAAGCTTGAACAAAATGTCAAAAAACTATTTAAGTGTATTCTACATAGTATTCTTATTAAAACTGTTATTGTTATTGTTATTATTATTATTATATTCATAATATGTAAAAAAAAGTTAATAAAAATTTGACCAGGTAAATAGTGCACATGTTATTTACTGAGAGATAAAGAGAGTAGTATAGTTATTTTTTTAATTTAAAATAATGATGTTTTTCGTAGGTCAATTTAGGTTAATAAAATATCCATAATTTTTGAAAAATATTTTAGTGTCAAGTAAATTAAAAAAACAATTTTTTGAATAAAAATATGCTCCTTATGATTTATATTAAAATGGAAGAAAAAGTAATATAAGTGAAACATAAAGTAGTGATATGGGGAAAATAAAAATAGAAAAATTGAAATAATTTATAAAATATATTTATAATAATAATAATACATGAAAAAAACTGTAAAAAATTGGAAGTTAAGAGTCTATGTTCTAAAGAATAAGCTCTAAACATTACAAAAATTATAGTGATCATGATATTATAAATTATAACTACAAACCGTAATAACTACCATAAAGAGTAAATTCTTAAAATGATACTCAATAACAATGTGTTTTTTCAAATTAGTCTTCAAGTTGAATTAATTATTGAGGAGGTTTATAAAAACGATGTATTATGATTGTTATTGTTGTTATTGTTATTGTTATTATTATTATTATTATTATTATTTTCTTCAATTTTTCAATTTTTATTTTTTCTCATGTTATTCTTGTGATTCACATTTATTTTTATTTTTCCTTCCACTTTTTAATATAAATAATGCAACTTAGCACACTAGGGTTAGAAGAAGTGTGTAATTCTACTCTTAAAACTTGGGAAAAACCCAACAAATGCCCAACCAATGCCAATTAGAGTGACACTATTTTGGGTTCAATGAATTTGGAAAGAAAAGAAAAGTGTTAATAGTATGGGCGCCCTTGTTGTTTACGCACTGTCATGATTGCACACTCGACGAAAGAACTCCAAACTCTTTCTATTTTCAAAAGTTATTTGTAAAACTCCTAAGATTTTTAAATGGTGCACGCACGCCCCCTAACCTATATTTAGAGTTAAAATGATATTTATTCCTCTTCTTTAGTGTTATTATGAGGTTTCACTCTTTTATTTTTTTTTACAAATAAATAAAAGAGTAACTTGCATAAAAGGTTCTCAGTTATAGATCATTTTACATATTTAGTTCTTACATATCAAATATATCAATAATTTAGTCTCCAATTGTTATATTGTTTTTCACAAATAGTCCCCTGTTAATATTTCAATTAAGAAAATTGATAAAATTGTATATTTATACTCATCTCTCTTCAATTAAGCTTTCTCCCTCCTCTCATACTCAACCCGGCCCGTAAAAATACATCCTATCACGTAAGTTTTGGCATGCAAAGATTGTCACCTAGGTTTATGGCTGCATGCATGCAAAGCTTGTCCCCTAGTTTTATGGTTGCATGCAAATCCTATATAAATTGGGAAAATTCCAAACAAAGTTTTATTCATTCCAAAATTGTAATCAAATCAAACTCCTACTCTAGATCATGTCTTCCCCTTTCGGTATTTTTGGTATGCTACTCATTTTCCTTGTGATCATAGGAAGGGCCTCCTCTACTTCTATGGAGGTTTTATGGGTAAATGGACATCCCAACTTTCCAATTCGTGAGATTGTTAGACAATCTTTCTTAGGATGTATGGTTATTTAACACATCGATTGCTTGGGTACGAGTTTAAATACCAATGTTTTAGTATAAATGTGAATGCAATTTCAATTTTTCTTTTATTTGAATAAAAGTGTGAACAAAAAGTTGAATATGAATATTAATACATTGCTCTTGTAATGTAGCCACCTGAATATGACCCCTCCTCATTTGGGAGTCGCTGGATCACAAAGTCTTTGGCATAAATTAACTAATTGATATTCAAACTATGCATCTGTAGGTGGTGACGGAGGCATGAAATGGCGGCCATACAGGAAATGTCAGATGAAAATTCATTAGGGAATCACGCCTTCTTCCTAAAAAGTAAACTTCTGGTTGGATTCCAGAGCAGTTTTACTCCAGAACATTGCAAGGACGAACCCGACAACAACAACAACAACATCAACAACAACAACAACAACATTCCCTCTAATGCAATTCAAGCACCCCCACCCCCCAGAGTTATCATCACCCAATTTTGACCATATCATCCAGCGCTACTCCATTGACCCCAATTCTACCGCTGCACGGGTCATTAAGGTGATGCTGGAAAGATGTGAGAAGAAGAAGAAACTGACCAACGGGAAATTCCAGGCTTGCGTGACCTCTTTGCAGGCAATGACGTCTCTCATTGTGGAGAGTTTGATGGAGGGAAACCCTGATCTGATCACTGGGACTTCCCTCCCACAGGATGCGCCCAAAGGGAGCTACGAATTCCAGGGCTTCAATGCCCTAAACGACGATAGATTTTTACTGTGTCACAAGCTTACGGTCCCCTTTGGGGCATTCTTCTGCCACCAACCCAGCAACTCAATGACCTATTCGATCACCCTCCCTGGAGTTGATAGTGGGGTGCGTTACGATTCCCTGGCCACGTGTCATAGTAGCACCAGTCGTTGGAACCCAGATTACGTTGCGTTTCCAACGACTGGTGCAACTATGACACGCGGCCAGAGCATCGTAACGCACCCCACTATCAACTCCACGGATGGTGATCGAATAGGCCGTTGAGTTGCTGGGTTGGTGGTAGAAGAATGTCCCAAAGGGGACCGTAAGCTTGTGACACAGAAAAAATCTGTCGTCGTTTAGGGCACTGAAACCCTGGAATTCGTAGCTCCCTTTGGGCGCAACCTGTAACCCTGGGAGGGAAGTCCTAGTGATCAGATTGGGGTTTCCCTACCTCAAACTCTCCAGAATGAGAGACACCATTGCCTGCAAAGAGGTCACACAAGCCTGGAATTTTTTGGTGATAATATTTCACGTAAGTGGATACAGTACAATTCTGCCGGTGCCAGCGTCGAAACCGGCGGTTCCGCCACTGGAAACAATGACGGAGACGTTGAAACAGTATGGAGGATCAGACCCAGAACTTGCATCCACAAGTCCGATTCCGGGGTATAGATATTGGGACCGGAACCGGCAGTTCTCGTTCCGACCTAATTTTGTATTATTTTCTTTTCTTTCCTACAACCCTTGCAAACTTGGTGGGCCATGGGGAGCGTCTCCAACGATAATATAGACATTTGGAGGGAGTGGGGTTTGGGAGGTTATTTTTTTACCTATAAATACTCTCATATATAAGCTCTTTCAAAGTCTAATGTAATTCTCATACCAAAATGAAGGATACATTTTTTTAAAGTCCAAAATAAAGATTTTACTTTTCAGCTTTTAGTTATGAAACTAGTATCACACCCGTGCATTGCACGAGTTGTTATTATGGTATTAAATTCAAAACATTTTTCATGATAAAAAATGAGATGCAATAGAATATAAAGATTAAATTTTCAAAGCAGTTAAGATCCCCATTTTTCGTAAGAATGACAGTTTTGAAACGTAGGGGAAAAAAATTCATGATGAATGTAATGTCTATGAAAGCTTTGTAAATGGATGTATTTATAATATGATTTTTGCATACGGGGTTAAAAAAATTAATCATTTTTTAAAGTGCTATAACGAAATTTAAATTACTATTACTATATTCAAATTATATAATTTATTATTCTTAAAATTACTATAATTAAAATTACTATAATTAAAATGACACATATAATTTAAATTATTAAAATTATTTAAAATGACACATATATTTAAATTATTTAATTTATTATATTTTAAATTACTATAATTAAAATTACTATTTAATGGTTTTACCGTATTAATTTTTTTCAAAACTGTGTGTATAATTATTCTTACTATAATTATATTATATTATAATCATACACATGTTTTTTAATTTTTATATAACCTAGTCACACGGTAATCATATAATTATGGTAAGAATAATCATACACACGTTTTTAATAGCATTGATTTGCGTGTATTGAAGTTTATAAATATTTTTTATAAATAATTTTTGCCTATTTTATAAATATTTTTTATAACTTACCTTTCTTGCTAGTATAAATTTCGGACAATTTAAAAAATAACAGTTAATTATTCTAAATATAATATAATAATTATACTTATAAAACATAAATTTTATATTACTATAATTTCAGAAACTTATCATTTTAACTTCGCATTACCATATGTAATGGCCATACTCTTTGAGTGGGAAAACGCAATATTGATTCCATGTCTTTTTAAATAAAGTATGGATATGCTATAGGCTATTATAATAAGAAGGGTTAAATTCTTTCGAAAATGGTGCATAATTATTCTTACCATAATTATTTTTTTGCGAAATTGGGCGTATAATTGTATAACTTACCTTTTTTAATTATTTCCAATTTATATTACTCACGTTAATTATTATAACATACCTTTTTTTAATTATTTTCAATTATTTGTTTTGTGAGATTGGGTGTATAATTGTATAACTTACCTTTTTTAATTATTTCTTTTTTTGCGAAATTGGATGTATATTTGTATAACTTACGGTTTGTAATTATTTCCAATTGGTTAACTTCGCGCTTACCATTTTATATTACTCACGCTAATTATTATAAAAATAATAGCTATATTAACTTCACCTTTACATAAAAAAAATTCAGACATTTGTGAGATTCTGTTGTTTCTTACCATAATTTCGGATTAATACAATCAGTACTCATAATAATGTTGGTTAGTTATTAGCATATAAAACGTTGATTCCATTTTTATAAAAACTTACACTTTTTGCAATTTTATAATTTACCTTTTTTAATTATTTCTAATTTTCAATACGTTAAATATTATAAATATAATAATTATATTAACGTCACGCTTATCATTGTATATTACTCAGGTTAATTATTATAAAAATAATAGCTATATTAATTTCAAACTTACACAAAAAAGGTTAAAAATGACAGTTACTCATTCTTAGCATATAATAGTTGATTCCATTTTTATTAAAAACTCATGCTTTGCAATTTTATAACTTACATTTTTTAATTATTTCCAATTTTCAATATGTTAATTATTATAAATATAATAATTATAACTTTACCATTTCGGACCCTTACCATTATAAATTCACAATTATTAACTTACCTTTCGGCCATTTTAACTTACCTTTCTTTAATTATTATAAATATAATAATTATAATAATTATTACTATAATTTCGAGCACTTACCATTTTAACTTCACAATTGCCATTTGTAATTGTCATTTTTTTGGGCGGGAAAACCATATGTTGAATCCATGTCTTTTTAAATAAAGTATAGATAGATGAAATATTGGATTCATAATATTTCAATCTTCTACACAAATTTTAAGGTATTTTATACTTATAATGACAAACAATAAATTATGACATAACATTTGAAAATGATAAAAATATTTGGGAAGTTAATTATGATCAAAGTTTATAAAATTTAATTTCAAAATGTAAATTGTGACATTCGTTTGGCATGGATGATCAAGAATGATTGTAAATGTATAATGGGGTTTCCATTATGGACCAGTGGAGTACAAAAGTGAAGATGTCTCCCAAAAAATCATCAAATTTTAAGAAAACTCCATACGACCCAAAATGATGATGGCCTTCCGATATGATGCAATTCCACATCCTCTTTCCCGGCGAGAATTTTACCTCATTCCCGCCCTCATGTACCTTTCTTTTCCTCCTTTCCGGGCCGCCGCCGGCAATGATTTCCCGGTCAACGTCTGGCCCAAGCCCATAACCTTCCACTGGCCCAGTCTCCGCCAAACTCCGCTTAGCCCAAATTTCACTGTTCACTCTCCCGCCCATCCCTACCTCTCTCCCGCCGTAAGTCGTTACATCCACGCCGTCCTGACGGAGCGCCACCACCCGATAGGCCCGCCTGCACTGAACGCCGCGCCGTCGTCTCCGCCGCTCGAATACCTGAATATTACCGTCTCAGACGCCGAGGCTCCTTTGGCACACGGAGTCAACGAGTCTTACACTCTCTCGATTCCGGACGGCGGCGATGGCGGCGCTTTCCTCTCGGCTCAGACGGTATGGGGCGCGATGCGCGGCCTGGAGACTTTCTCGCAGCTCGTGTACGGCGACCCGGCCCGGGTGGCCGCCGGGCTGTACATTTCAGACGCGCCGCTGTTCCCTCACCGTGGAGTGATGCTGGATACTTCGCGGAATTTCTACGCGGTCGAGGATTTGTTGAGGTTGATCAAGGCAATCAGTATGAACAAGATGAACGTTTTCCACTGGCACATCACGGACTCGCATTCGTTCCCGTTAGTGGTGCCGTCCGAGCCGGAGCTGGCCGGCCGCGGCGCTTATGGGGAGGAGATGAAGTACTCCCCGGAGGATGTCCGGAAAGTTGTAGAATTCGGACTTCAACACGGGGTTAGGGTTTTGCCTGAGATTGACATGCCTGGTAAGGTTACTGGTATATGCTTGCTTCCCAATTTGATTGTCTGTAATTGAAGTTAATTTGATAGATGATCCAGAGATTATTACTGTTTTATATAACTTATTTCATCATCTCCAATCATAAGTTTGAGTTTTTAGTTAAATTACAAGTTTACAATTGACATGGTATCGAAACATTGTTGATTTAAGGTTTGGAGTTCAAATCTCATAGTAATTCATGTTAAAAAGTGCAAAGCTGAAGCAAACAAATCTTGTCTGACATGAGAATGGTTTTAGAGTTAGGGTCACAATTGAGGTACCCTTAGCAAGATTGAGAGTAAAGAAATCACCCTAAATACGAGTAAAACATAGTATTTATCTTCCAAATAAAAGTTCAATGTTTTTATACCCAAATAAGAGTTTGCAGTGTGATATTATGTCACTGTATAGTGGCATCCCACTATATTTTTTTGGTACTATATTTAGGCAATATTGGGATTATACTCCTCTTTTGGGGATAAAAAATACGGAACTCCTATTTTGGTACTTTCTTCATGTTTTACTCCTAGTTTAGTCATTTTCCATTAGCGTAAGCGTGTATAGCCTTTCATAGTCCTGAACTTCTGGTTAAATCAGCTTCCTTACAATTACAATAAGGTGGGATTACCATAGTGATTGATGCTAATATTTTGGTTTGGCAATATTGAAGGGCACACAGGATCATGGGCAGAAGCTTGCCCTGATATAGTCACATGTCCAAACATGTTCTGGTTGTCTCCAGGGAGCAACAAAGCTCTGGCAGCAGAACCAGGAACTGGCCAACTCAACCCTTTGAACCAGAAGACCTACCAAGTCGTCAAGAATGTCATCCGTGATGTCACAACCATGTTTCCAGACACGTTCTATCACGCCGGAGCGGATGAGATCAATGCAAACTGTTGGAACACCGATCCATCGATCCAAGAGTTCGTCTCAGACAATGGGACACTAAGTCAACTGCTCGAGACTTTCATAAACTCCACTCTGCCTTACATTGTCTCATTAAACCGAACCGTTGTGTACTGGGAAGATGTCTTGTTGAGTGATGACATCAATGTGACAACCTCTTCTCTTCCCAAAGAGAACGTTGTCTTGCAGACATGGAACAACGGGCCAAACAACACAAGGAGAATCGTCGAAGCTGGATATCGTGCGATTGTTTCCTCAGCAGACTTTTATTACTTGGACTGTGGGCATGGGAGTTTTCTGGGAAATGAGAGCCGGTACGATCTGCCACCTGGAACTGAACAGGGCAACGGTGGGTCATGGTGTGGGCCCTTCAAGACATGGCAGCTGATTTACAACTACGACATAACCTACGGATTGAGCGACGAGGAGGGGAAATTGGTTTTGGGAGGGGAGGTCGCGTTGTGGTCCGAACAAGCAGATGCAACTGTTTTGGATTCGCGGGTTTGGCCAAGAGCTTCAGCAATGGCGGAATCTTTGTGGTCTGGGAATAAAGATGAGGCAGGGAAGAAGAGGTCTGCAGAGGCTACAAACCGGCTGAATGAATGGAGGTACAGGATGGTTGCACGAGGTATAAGTGCTGAGCCCATTCAGCCTCTTTGGTGTGTCAAAAACCCTGGAATGTGCGACGCTGTTTACCCCTTTTCTGCATCTCAATAAATTGTTCGTGGTAATTATTCTTTTGAACAATTATTATTATTATTATTGTTGTTGTTGTTGTTGTTGTTCATCAATCCATAATAAACTTGTTTTCCTTTAGAATTTCTTTTGTTTCCATTTCATTTTTTCTGCTTTCCCTTAGTTTTTCGAATCGACTATCATGACTTTCTTGATATCCTTAGATAGGAATGCCCTGAGATCTTGAATTAGAATAGTTGACTTTTTGAAATAGCAGAAGTGTTAAGTTAGAAGGGAATAATAGTTATCTCTAGCTTTGTTGAAAAGCACTTCTGCAGCTTAATATACACTTTTGATGTTATAATTCATAAGCTAAAGCAGATCCAAAAACACTTAAAACTGAATTTTTATGAAATAGAAATGCAAAAATTATTCTTAGAGGCACTCAGAAACACACTCTAAAAGAATCAGGTGCAGCTTTCTTGAATACTATATGTAACAGATGCTTATTTCACATATATTGATACTCTAAACCATTACATAAACAAGACATAAACAAAAGGGAGCTGGTCATGGACATCTAGAGTTTCTACCAGGTCCTCCATAGTAAAAATAGTTCCCCCATCTAGCATTCCTACCCAGCTTCACATCATAGCAATTGGAGTTCTCAGTGAAAGTGTCAAGACCATCTGGGTCCCTCAAGCCGTTTGACTCGTCGACCACCTTAATGTTTCTGACGTAACTGGCCTTCCGGAACCCTTCGCCGGGGAAACCGCCGCTGCCCATTTGAGTGGTGGTGTGCATCCCGCCCGACTCTTCGTTCACCACCTCTCCACCCCACTCCACCACAGATGCACCGCCGTGGAGGTTTGAGAACAGGATCCCTGGCCAGTACCCTACCACATTGTCCTTCCCAAATTGCATCCACCAGTTCCCATCTTTTGGATCCTGCATTTTTCACCCGAGAAAATGCAAGAATTTTCAAGATAAAGTTTACTTCTGTCCTAAATAAAGAGTCGTATTTGAGCAAACATTGCTAGTTTCACTATATTTGATGTATGAATTTGTAACAAAAAAGTGTCCTTAACAAATTAAGCATATAAAATTCAAAAATGCTAGAAACCCACAAGTTTGACACCATAAGTTATTTTTTGGACACACAGTAATTGTCGGTGAGAAATTTATGGTACGCGAGACACTGATAGTATCACCTTTGGTGTTCTTTCTTGGTGGGTCTGTAGCATGACTATAAAATTTAGCCACACCAACAAATTATTAAAAACATAACGACCATTTTCAACACATGTAGCATATTAAGCTAAAACTTTTATTTATACGACTTTTGTCTTGCATCTTCAATCTTATAGTAGATATAGATGTAGAAAATGACTTCTTCTTTTTTATGAAATTGGGTGTATCAAGCTCTAGGGGTTCCCCTCCCTATCTTATATAGCAAAATAACGAACCCTTAAGGCTTAAGGTATGTTTGGTTGGAGGGAGCGCCCAGGAGGAGAGGGGATGGAAATGAAGGGCGAAGACCAGAAGATTTTCAAAAAGCTTGTAATCCTCGTCTTTCGTTTTCCTGCCTTCTCCTTCAACCAAACACACCCCAAGTATGATGGGTTACTGCCACACTTTAGCCTCCTATATCACTTGTACCTTCCAGACAAGAATGCTGATATCATATTGGGAACCTCCATTGCTAGAGAGGGGGGAAATAGAAGCCCCCATTGCTATTTCACTGTTTATCTGAATAAAGCCTGAGCAAAGAAGATTGTAGCAACCTGTGGCTTGATATGCATCACTCTGTCAACAAATTAATACATTGTTAGGGTATATTATATAGGCCTCTTGTTTATATGTACACAATATTAGTCTAGCCTGACCAATAAGTGAAAAGTCTTGTGTTAATAAGGTCACTTACTGTCCAATAAGGGGACGCACACGTAAAAAAAAAGAGTGAAGAATGAAATTGGTCACTTACTGTCCAATAAGTGAAAAGTCTTGTGTTGTGATCTCCATATAGGGATGGGCTCACCTGTTCATTTGTCCAAGAAAACCCAAGAAATGTGTTTTAAATAAGAACACGAAAGAGATGTTAGAATCCCACATGAAATTTTTGAAGAGAACATAGTGTGTTAATAAGGTCTTGAGTTGCTCGATTAGATTCAATCTTTTAGTGTAGTTCAGTCTAAATGACCTGAGAAAAAAGTACCTGCCAACCAGCTTCAATGCTATTGAGATTTGAATCGAAATCTCCCCCCAAAATCCAAATTTGGGACAAGCTGAACTCATGGTTTTGCTCCACGTTTGGTTGCCAAACGTTTATCGTGGCCTTCGCACCATAGTATGTGCCTCCACTAACATAAGCTATCGCATGCTAACAGCTCCAAAACATTAAAACTATATCCAATCAATTAACCAGTTCAACTCAAAAGAACATCACACAGACATTCTTAAAAACATCCTCTACCTCGTGCCCGGTTGTAGTGTCCGTGTTGGGATTCGCGGATTTGGGTTTGGGAACGGTTTTAACCGTCTTCTTCCCATAGTTCTTGACAGAGCTTGCTCTCAAGATGTCTTCTTCCTTTGTTCTTCTCACGGGAATGGTTCCTTTCGGACATCTCCCATTCAAATGCCAGAGCTGAGCAATCCCTTTCTTTTTCTTGGCTCGATTCATGAAAACTTTGCTGTCCATATATAGACTTTCTGGATGGTAATTCGGCATCATCTGGCAACCGAAATTCGTGCAAGAAACTCTGAGTCTTAGTCTTATATGTTGGTTTGTGTTTTTATATGTAGATGAATTCAAGAAGAAGAAGAAACACAAAAGAATAAGCATGGGAAGGGTATGTACCTGAATAGTATGATTCTTGAGAAAGGGATGATCAAAAGCTGGTTGGTGAGACATATGAACACAGTCAATAATGTCTCCATCTGGGCTCTGTATTTTACTCATTCAAAAGAAAGTTACATAAAAATTGAATAAACAAGCCTATTGTTGATTTTTTTACTTTTAAGAGTAAGCCCTTGTTTGACATTTGTGTTAGAGTTTAACTTTGAAGTTCTGAAAATACTTCCCTGTAATGATTTTTAGCATTAGCATTTTTAAACGCTAATTTGCGAGGTTAAAAAAACTATCCAAGAATCTAAAGCTAATTACAAATATTGTTCCCAAACAGGGCCTATACATACTCTCTGTATCCTAAAATTTCCTCTATCCATCCCAAAATTAAAATTAGTGAAGTTATTTGATTAAACCCATACTCTATTCAATATATTTGAAAATAAGCGTGAAACTAAAAAATAAGCATAATATATATCAAAAAAAAATAAAAATTACATAAAAAAAACTTCTAAAAAAACAAGAAACTTGCAGTTTGACTGTATAAATAGTAGATGAGAATCCTATTTTGGGACGGGAAAGTATATGTTCAAACTACTTCAACAATCAACAGGACTATCATTTCCAGTAATGAAAATTGTCAAAGAAACATGATCAAAGGTAATAGTGAACGTCAACTTTTTTTGTTGGGGAGTATATATATACTCCGTAATATATTTACCTGAATATAGGTGAGAGAAGGTTTGTTCAAACGCTTCAAGTGCTTCTGAACCAAGAAACTGTTCATTTCTGGTCGGGCATCAGTCAGCAAAATCCCCAAGAAGATGAAGAAGAAGAAAGCTTTCACTTCTGCCATGGAAATCAGAGTGGTTCATAAGAAAGGTGGAGTCTTTCTTTCTTTTCTTTTCTTTTCTTTCTTTTCTGTCTTTATTAATCAAGAATCTGTGTTCTGCAAATGAAAGGAGGAGAATTGAAAAAAAGGAAACTTTGAGTTAGTTTCTTTTCTTCTCTCCAGGGAATAATAATAAATAACTGAATAGTACAGTGACTCTCTATTCAGGTGGGGCAGTGATTCCCCATAGTTTTAGACCATCGTTTGCCTTTCCCCCCTTTTTTTCCCCCAAATTTTCATTACTTTTGTGAGATTTTTCTTGCCCTTTTATGGTCATGTATTATGATCCCCGGATATGGCGTGTTTGGACTTCCTCCTCATTCAAGGGTTGTTCTTCCACTCTTTATATATACTTGGATTATTCTAGACTATCCTTCTGGTTTGATTTTTTCTAGTCGAATTAGATATTCTGTACATTAATCTTACTTCCTTTGTTCATAAATTTTCTTTCCGTGCAATATTTATATGATTAAATTTTGTTCACTTTGTTTGCTTATTTTCATAACTTATTTTATAATGTAATATATTCATGTCACCCTTTATTTTGTGAAATTTTTTATATAGTTTTTAAGTATATGAATTTTATTTTAAATTTTAAAATTTAATTTTAGGTTTACATTATAAACTATGCATTTCTTCTTCCCTTTTTTTAATGCTATTGACTATATTATTACATTTCTTTTAATGTAAGTATTGATGGTTTAGTTATTTCTCTCACAATTTTGAACTTTTTCCAATTCTTTGTCTACTCATTTTAGTTTTTTCCAATTTTTTGTTTTTTTTTTCAACCTCATTCAATATCTTTTAATTTCTTCCCATTTCTTATCCTCTTTTTTTAACATTAATGACTTTAGTATAATGTATTATTTGTTCATACACTTCCAACCCATTAAACACTACCCTCATTGTGAGTCGAATATGTGACCTCTCGTATGAGAATCACCATCATGCCATTGAACCTCGAGATCTTTTCGCTCCCTTCTTTTTTGTTTCTTGTAGTGTTTACTTTATTTATTCAACTTTTAGTTTATACTCCCTAATTAAGATGAAGACGTGACGGTGTGACTTAGTACCCCATTTATGCTTTATTAATACGAAAAAAAAAGAATAATTAAGCTAGTTTTGGATGCCTTATCTTATATTCTTATCAATATTCTTTTTCTAAAGGTGGGACAAGTTTTAGTATCCGTCTAAAATACATATAAATAATATTGTCAAAAAACTTTATATTCGAGACTGATTCTTCCTAATAGAGAGTCATAAGCTCAAATTTTGAGTGCGAGTATTGATTCTTTATTTTTTAATAAGTCGCAAAAAATTTTTTATAAAAAAAAGCTACATTATAATATAATTAATAATATTTAAAAAAAATATACCGTTAAAAATATATTTAAATATGGAGTATATATCTTAATTAGATAAAAGTTTATAAATTACGGAGTACATCATAGAGTTCATATGCATCATTAGATGCATATAAGATTTTGCCTTTTTCGTTCTTGATGGATATTTTAATTTATTGTCTTTCATTCTCTTGGTTAATTAAATAAAACTAGTCTTTCTATCCTATTCTCTATGATATTACTTCCTCTGTCTGAAAATATTCTTTCTATTAGATTTTTCTTGGTCAAAGTTTGTAAATTTTTACTCCGATATGTGGAAAAATACATTGTATTATGATATACCTTTAACATTAATATATTCCTACAATTAAAGATATTAGCAGTCAAAGTATAATCTTAGAGACCGTGAAACTATTCTTTCTATCTTATCCTCTTAGATATTATAAAAAAACTATTAGAGTATTAGAGCAATTTGTATTAGCTTATAAATGAGCCTTGGAGTGGCTCTAAAGGGTGTGTAATTTTCTCATTGTTTTCTAATTTTAAGAGTGCCCCAGGGAAAAATATTGTATGCCCCGGTAAAAAAATTAGTGTAAAAAGACATTTATTTAAATAGAATATACAGATAAAGTATTTGAAATATCATATGTATATTAAGTATAAAATTGGTATAAGAATAATTAATAAAATTTAAATATTAAAAAATAACATCGAAAATTCTATAAAACAAGAAATGACATAAATATTTTTTTATTGAGAAGTAAATTTCAAAGAAAAAATGTTATCAATTTGGTGTGGGAAATATGATGCTTCATGCCAGTATACAGAATATCGTACAACAAAACCAATAAATAGGTTATTGGTTTGCCATCTTTAGAGGGTGTTTGACAGTGCGTTGCTTTTAACAATTTAGTTTTTTCTTTGAGTGGAAGTGATTTTACTTTGTTTGGCATGTCAACTTCTGCTTTTCACCAACATTATTTTGTACGGAGTACATTAAACACCGTTTCGGAGAAGCATGTATGAGGTGCTTTTGCTTTCAGCTTCTGTAAAATCATTTTATCCATAAGCTAATCACTCCCAAACACCCTCTTATTAAGTTTCAATTTGGACCTCTTACTCCCTCCGTCCCTAAATATTCACAACATTTGCTTTTTCAGCAATCGCGGAAACTTTTGTTTATTTCGACGTTTTCATTGGTTATTTGATAACATAAAATATTCTTGACACCTCTTATTTCGAAAAATTCTCATGTAGTTTTTTGACATGTAATTTATATTTTTATTTCTTTACCAATATATAAATAAAATGAATTGGAAAAACTTGATATTTTACCTCGATAATAGAAATATGACAAATAATTTGGGACGGAATACGTATTATTAACGTTACCTTTGCCATTATGGCTTTAATGCGTGAAAGGACATTCTAGGGAGTAACATTTAATTTCCATGATATAATTACTTTATTCGTATTGTTGGAGAAAAGCAATTGAGTAAATATTCCTATTCTTTATATTTATATATATGTGTGTGTGTGTATATATATATATCATATCCTTTATCCTTTAATTTATATCATTATCCTTTATATATCCTCTATATATATAAAGCAGAGTCGTAGCTCTAAAAACATGACATTTGGCATATTCAAATTTTGACATGTGGCGCATTAAGAACTTGACATGTGGCATATTAGGTGGTAATTTAACTAAATTTACTCTCTTTCATTATTTCACATTTTTTACTCTTTTTTCAAAAATGATATGGAGTAATTACTTATTTTGAACCCATGAATTCAAATTTAGAATTAAAATTATTTTCCGTGTAAATTATACTCCCTCCGTCCTATAATGATCTTCCCAGAGCACTATTCCAACTTCACGGGAATTTATATTTATTTATGTTTTTTCATGGCCTATATGATAAAATAAAATATTCTTGTCACCACTTGTTTTGTTGAACTTTTGGTGTAGCTTTTAAATATGTATGTTTTATTTTTTATTTCTATACCAATATTTAAATAAAATAGATTGAAAAAACTTGGGATTTTTCTTCGTTTTGCGAACCGGGAAGATCATTATAGGACGGAGGGAGTAAGTTTTAATAAAATATCATTTCTTTTCAAGACTATACGTACAAATATTTTTAATACCTGTCTCGAATTCGTTAAATAATAAAATTTTCAAAATATTTTTATACTAATAAATAAAATACACTCCTCACCCATAAATAAATTTTATATTTATATATTATACATTTACATGATATTCCTTTGACTGTAATTATTTAAATATTGACACCTATTAAACACTACAAAAAAACGCGGAATTGGCACGGCTTTTTGGCACAGATTGTAGTTTAAGTTTTCCGTGACTAAGGTATTAGGCACGGATTTTGGCACGGACACGAAACGCTGCCAATTTTGAAGCTCCAAACCGTATGGCACGGAAATCCAGTCTGTGCCAAATATAGAGACGGCGTCACTCGTGACAAAATCATTCCAAATTGGCGGTTATAAGAAAAACGTTAAAGATATTAGGCACGGATATCTCCGTGTCAAAATTATGTTCTTACAAATATAACATAAGTCACGGATATATCCGTGCCTTTATTTTGAAAATAAAATATCCTTCTTTGCCGACTCCTCCGCCCTCGACCTCAACCTTAGCCTCCAAGTCGCCACCGGCATTGAATATGGACTGCGGGGTAGTGGTAGATGGCGATTCCGGTGGTGCTCGAGAGTGAGAACGCTGAAAGCTTCTCCTACCACGAATGCTACCGCAGAAGAAAGTGCTCCTTGCTGAAGACATTGAAAGGAGAAGAGGTTATGCGGGAGGAGGGCGGAGGACGGAGGAGGACGGAGGAGGGATGGCAGCGAAGAAAGAGATAAGAGGAGGAGAGTGGTTAATGAAAAAATACGAGAAAAAACATGTAAGGGGTGGTAATATAATTAAACCGTAGGCACAGACGTAAGCACGTCCCCAACCGTGCCTATACCGTGCAGTAAATATCGGATTATTGGGTAATGGTGTAGGCACGGCCGTTGTCGTGCCAAATTTCAATATCTCTGCGTGTGTCAGGCTTTTTGTGTGAGATCCATTCTAGGCACGGCTTTTTCCGTGCCTACTAGAGGGCATTAAACACAACAATTTTTGATAATTGCATAGGCACGGCCCTGTCCGTGCCAAACAAAATGAACTCTTCGTTTGTAGGGGTGCATTAATAGCATGTCATAAAACGAATTTATTGGGCTTGTATGTAGGCACGGCAGTTTCCGTGCCAAATTAAATGCCTCTGCAAGTGTGTCGGGCTTTTGTCTAGGATCGAAATTAGGCACGGCTATTTCCGTGACAAAACAGTCTTGTCCTTTTCAATTTTGAATTTTATGAGAAAGGTAGGGAATTGGAACAACTAAATCCGTGTCTATTGGTTTGAATAAACGCCGTCCGACAACACCGTTAACTTCTTAACGTTTACGCTATTGGCACGACATTTGGCACGGAAAAATGCTAAGCCAAATTGAAACGCAAATAGAAACACGCCATGTTGCTACTTTCTTTTTTCGGCGTAGTCACGACATGTCCGTGCCTAATATTCCGTGCCAATTCCGGGAGTTTTTTGTAGTGAAATAAAATACTTCCTTTACCTATAAATAAATTTTATTTTTATGAATCTTAAGGTATCACTTAATTTAAGATATAGAAAATGTGAATTCAAGGTTTTGGTATAAAATCTTTGAATAAGTTTAATTGTTAAAGAGAAACATTCATTTGTATGAAAATACTCTTTCCAATGCATTAAAATATTTTTTACTCGCTTCATTTATAAAAACAAATTGATTAATAAATAAGATGATTTTTTTCACGTTTAAATAATTTTCATACAAGTATTAGTTTAT